CTCAAAATAAAATGAGGGATAACTTAGGTTTTCTGTTTGTGGGTGTTTGAGTCAATTTTTGTGGGTTGGGGGAAAGTATTGGAGCATTCTAACTCTTTGTCCCTTCTTGGGGGCTTCCAAGATCAACTTTTTTTGGAAGTGATTTTCTCTAGCCAATTTTCATGGGATTATTGGAGGGGGGAAAATACCGTCAAGAGCTACATGCACCCTATAGGCTAGAGGAGATTTTCAAACTGTATGCTGCAACACATCTTTGTGTCTGCTCCAGTGTGCAGGCATTAGGGGTGTGTATGGTATAATTTTTCAAAACGGAATCCGAGAATTCCGGCAGTTGCAGAAACCAAACTTCCACCAATGGGATGGGTGACGGGGCTTGAATTGACTTGGTCGAAACAGACCACATGATGTCTGAAATCAGCTTCCCCCCCCCCCCCCCCCCCCCCCCCCCCCGCCTGCCTGAGCCAATCAGAACAAAAAAGCAGATCATGTGTCTTTTTGCCAAGCTGGTCTATATATACCAGGGCAAGCATCTCATTTTTCCTGTGGTGTCCTGGCTTCTGAGAAAGAGAGAGTGTGCTAGCTTGCTCCGTGTTCTAAGTGCCATCACTGCTTAGGATTGCTGTTTGACTCAATTCCAATCCTTTTATTTGGCATTTTTTTTAAAAATTCTTGATTGAATAACTTTCAGTCCTTTTTTTACTACTTCACTAGGGAGGTGAGGGTGTGTGTGTGTGTTTGGGATGGGACTGTCAAAGGGCATTTTTAGGGGTGTTTGTTTAAATATTTTTTACCTTGCGGGTAGTTTAGGGAAGGGAAGGGATAGTCTGAGAATGCTAGTATTTAAATTTCAGTCCCTCCCCAGTAGTATCTATTATCTTTTTTCTATACTCCGTACTGCACCTTCCTCCCCCACAAAATATTTTAATATATTATTTATTTATTTATTTATTTACTGTACTTATACCCCGCCCTTCTCACCCCGAAGGGGACTTACAAAAATGCCCTTTCTTCTTGTTGTTCACCTCTTTGACTGACTCATTTATTCCCCTTCCCTGACCTACTTCTGGCTTGTGTGTACTCCTGTTCCAGTCTAGCAGCCATATAGCATAAACCACGTAATTAAAACAATTAAAAACCAGTAAAGTATAAAACAGCATAAAATGTGTCAGTTCGACTTCAACAACCAGTGACCAGGAATATGGTAGGCAGATTGGAGAAGGCAGGGTCAGGACTTGTGCAAAACATTAACTTATAGGGCCAGGCTGAGGGTAAAGTGCTGAATAAACCTTATCAGTAAATTAGGGCTGGGCATTTATGATCAGGGACTAACCATTATTCAAAGTCACACTGGAATATCCAGGTTTTCAAATCCCCGCAGAAGGCGGACAGAGTGGGGACTAATCTAATCTCTTTGGGGAGGGAATTCCAGAGTTGGGGGGTCACCACCAAGAAGGCCCTCTCTCTCATCCCCACCAACCGTGCTTCACAAAGTGCTTTCAGGTTTACAACCTAAATGGCAGAGGTCACAAGGAAAAGAGGATAACTGTGGGGTAAACAAGCCCACGTATATCCAGCCACTGGCCAAGACATGATGGTGCTTGGCTACACTTTTCTCTCCTAAAGGCCAAAAGAATGGTAGTTGGAGTAAGAAGGAGATCCACATTCTTAGAATCAGTATGGCATATAAACCACAATAATGTTGCTTGTTTGCTTAACTGCAGGAACAAGAAGCTGTACAAGAAGCCCTTTGACTTAATAAATGTTAACATTAGTCTGTCACTGAGCAACTAAGTTATCAAATGCAGCAAATGGACATTGCTCAAACAAAAAAAATCATACACTGTCTCCTAACTACATTTGGAATGAATTAAATACATTCTATTAAAATATTTTTTTAGGAACAGGAGTACAGTTTAGCCTCTACAAAGGGCACTGTCTTAAAATAAAAATCCAAACTTAATCAGATTATAAAAATAAGCAAAATGCGAGCTACAGAATGAATAGGATTTTATTATTTACATTCCACCATTATACCAAGAAATACCCTGTGAAATAAGGACATAACTGATTCAAAATAAGGGAAAACATTATCTACTCTGCTATCCCAGAAAGCTAGTAAAGTTACTAATATGATTGGATTAAACATAATGTCAGTCCAATTTATAAGATCAGTTAATAAGGAGGATTAAGGAAAGCAAAGGATTATCATATTTTATGTTTATTAAAGATTGACTGATTTAAATATCTAGATCGTGCACAAGTTGCATTGCTCATCCATCAACTGATATATACATTTGTCTCTGTCATTTTAGTTTTTCCTATACGGAATAGCTTTAAAATCAGCTAGAGGTACCTGTGCTTGGGTATCTGCCTGTGATTCATGATTTTCTTGGACCTCATCAGATGGGCAAAATTGCTGAAACTATAGTTGATGAAACTACTCCATGAGATTACAACAACATGTTGCAACAACTTCACAAACTACTACTTTGTTTCAAGGCACAATTCAGTGCTCTTTAAATTTTGAATTCAGGGCTATTTGAAACATATCTCTTTATTAGTTTGCTTGAATTTTATGATTATTGCAGGAGGGCTTTCTCTCAATCCCACCACAATTGCAGGCACATTTGGAGAAGTCATGTGAGATTGCTTTCTTTGTATCCGCTCCCAGGCTGAGGAACTCTGCCCATATGAAACTAGACTGGCCCACTCAACACTCTCCTTCTTGAACATGAAGCAAAGGGGTTTTTTTATTATTACTATTTAGATGGGTTTTGGCAATTAGCTGGATGCCTTTTAATGGGATGTGTGTACACTGTATTATTTTCAGGGTTGCATTTTGAATGCTTTTAAACTGCTTTAAAAGTAGTGTTAATAGGATAATGGAATTGCTTTTAACAATAAACAATGCTGTTTATCATAAACATTGTGTTTTAGCTGTCCTTTTTTAAATCTATGCTCTAGCTGCTTGGATTCCATGTTGAGAGAAAGGCATGTTACAAATAATACAAAACAAATGAACAGTTATAAACAGATTTCTCTCTATTGAAATGCCTAGAGAAGGCTGTTCATCCAGGAGTTTCATGTGAATATTGGAATAAATTAACAACCATAATCTTCTTTTTGTTTATTAAATAGCATAATCACTTTTCTATTTTAAAAAAAGTCACTGGGAAGTGTTTAGACACCTCTTAAGGAAGTGAGTCTTAACCAAACAAAGAGTGAAAGAATAGTCCTCAAGAAACCAATCAGTTGGACATCTAGGTATGTACTCACGCCATTATCAGCTTCTGTTTTCAAGAACAATTCTAGTTTGAGAGGCTACAAAGGGAAATCATCACTTGAAAGCAAGAAATAACTGGAAGGATGACTAAACATGAGACGTCGGCGAGCACAGAAAAATGGCTTTCCAACTTTTAGTTCCTGCAGAATATCATATTGAAGTTCACAGCGCTTTCGGAGTAATATGTACTTAGCTATATTTCCTATGCGAATGATTAATTACTTTTCTGAAGCTAAGGTGTAGTTTCTCACTTTGAAGAATGCATAGGCATTGGAATTGACACAGCAGTATTTTCTGCCATGGTTAAATGTGTGATTCCCACACACCACTCCTTAGAGTGACAGGATATTAGGGCTAGGGAGAGCTGTGTTCAGTTTCCCATTTTGCTATGAAAGTAATTACAGGTTCCTGTTCATCTTAATCTACCAGGCAGATTTCCTGTGATGATCAAGGGTGGAAGGAAGCAATATATATTGCTTGAGATCACTGAACAAAAAGTATAAAATAAGTGCTATTACTGTTAACATAATGTGAAATACTAATATAATATTTCAGTGCCGCTTTTGAAACAAGGATAAAACCGTCATTGGTTTCAAACTATGAGCTTAAAAAGTCATTATGCCAACTGGCAGGATTTATGAGGATTATAGTAAAGCAACAGATCCTGCCTAACCTTGCAAAGCTAAGTAAGGTCAGCCCTGGTTAATACATGGATGGAAACCACCAATAAATACCAGGTGTTCTTGGTTATATTTCAGTGTAAGAATTGGAGCCCCCGGTGGCGCAAAGGGTTAAACCCTTTTGCCGGCAGGAATGAAGACTGACAGGTCATAGGTCGAATCCAGGGAGAGCGTGGATGAGCTCCCTCTATCAGCTCCAGCTCCCCATGAGGGGACATGAGAGAAGCCTCCCACAAGGATGGTAAAATATCAAACATCCGGGTGTCTCCTGAGCAATGTCCTTGCAGACAGTCAATTCTCTCACAACAGAAGCAACTTGCAGGTTCTCAAGTCACTCCTGACACAAAAGAAGTGTAAGAATTGGTAATACTACGTACTCTGAGTATTCCCTTATCTGAGAAAACCCTATGAAATGCATGGGATCACTATAAGTCTACAGATGACTTGAAGGCACATATACACAGCACAATAATTAGGAAGGCAGTAGGTTACCCAGATATTTAGCATCATAGGTATCACTCTGTGTTATACATTTTTTTAAAAAAAGCTTTAAGAAGCTTCACTTACATACAGGCATAAAGGCAAGGGGAAAAAAATCAGCCAATTTTTAATCAATCTAAATTTTACTTTGGCATAGACCTGACATTACCTGAATACAGAAAGCACTCTTTGCCAAAAAGCCTAATGAGCATATTGAAATTAGTTCCCCCACCCTGATCCTTTCTGAGCAATGGACCCTGAAAAGTTGCCAAGGGGTTGAGCAATGTTCATAAAGGCTTATAGAGGTAGACAAGAGGTTAATTTGCTACTGAAAGCTTCAAAGAACACTTTAGAAAATCACAGACCATTTGAATCCCCAAAAGCCATTTGTTGCTCTCGCAGTACATGAGTACTTTCTCCCAAGACACTTAAATCAATATTTTCAGGCTACATACCAACATTTTGTTGTTGAAAAATAACATGAATACAACTCAGCTGCATTTTTAAAGAAGGCTAAGCACTTGAAGATGAAAAGGTTGCAGGTTTGCTTTCATTACCTGTAAGTGATATGTTTGTGTTGCCACTTCTGTCCTGTTAATGCATATCGCTTTCGACGAATATTAAATCGAGAGTTGCCTCTCGTCTGATCAGGCACTCCACAACGAGGCTTCTTCATCCAGCTTTAAATTTTAAAAAAAGACAAGTAAAGAAAAAGATCAGAAGTATACAATGGCAACAACCCCTTAATATTTCCAACATGGTCCATGTAATGAATGAATGATCACACCTCTTCCCTCCTTCCTCAGAAGATGTAGCTTCCTATTCTCTGCATAACCTCAGATAAAAGGGCTGCCAAAATCAATGATTTTATTTTAATTTGATATAAATAAGCTTAAAAATAGTAAGTTTTGAACATTTTATTTGAAAAATAGTTTTATTTACTGATTAATAAAAAAGAGGGTAAATCAATGTGATAATCCCATCAATCATATTTCAAAAGTATTACATATAAGGTGTTCTCTTTCTTGTTGCCTCTTTCTCTCTCAGATGTGCCCAATCTATAGGATTGGGAAAGTACAGGAAAAGCCCAGAAGCAGAAAATATGGGGAAATAAAACAGATCTGAACAAGGAGGAGAGGCCTGAATGTGCATGCAAGGAATACCTCCTCCCCCATTATTATGAATGAAAAATTCATCTGAAAACAATTCAAAATAATTGTTTGTTTTGTATTTAGCTTCTAATTAAACCAATATCTCTGAATACATATTAAGTGTATATTAAACAACTATGTCCTTTTCTAAAACTGATGATTAAAAAGAATCTCCCTCACTAGAGAGTCAAACTGTGATCATTACAATGAAATCCACCCGAGAAACAGTTTAAATCATGATAGAAAATCATAATCTCAGGACTCTTCCACACAGCCCGATATCCCAGAATATCATGGTAGGAAAGCCCACATTATCTGAGTGTGGACTCAGATAACCCAGTTCAAAGCAGTTATTGTGGGATTTTCTGGGATATAGGGCTGTGTGGAAGGGCCCTCAGTCAACTTGATTTGAATCAAATCAGACCTGCTAGCAAACACTAAGGGCCCTTCCAAACAGCCCTATATCCCATGATATCAAGGCTGAAAATCCCACATCTGCTTTGAACTGGGTTATCTGAGTCCACAGTCAGATAATGTGAGATTTTCTGCCTTGATATTCTGGGATATAGGGTTGTGTGGAAGGCCCAATGAAACAGCAAGTCCAAGCAGAAGACATCTGAATAAGAAGTCAGGAAGGGAGAAGCAGAGTGGTAGGCAGGGTTTTCATCCATATGTTAGAAGTTCTGTGCAAACTTAAGTTAAAAAAAATGACAATGAACAGTCTGGCCATGTTATTGTAAAAGGAAACACTGGATTCCTCTGAAAAGGTCAGTGAGGCTCTCTAAAAAAATTAAATTCCCTTTAAAAAGGGTTTTTTTAAAAAAAGAAACGATTAAAGATTGGTGTCCTGATTTCCATATGGTGTTCCATTGTTTTACAAGCACCACATGATTAGAGACTCAAGTTATGTCCTTAAATCACCTGTCAACTTATGATGGCCCTATGCATTTCATAGTTTTCTTAGGGAAGGAATACTCAGAAGTGGTTTTTCCAGATTCTTCCTCTGAAATATAGCCTACAACACAAATTATTTCTTGGCAATCTCCCATCAGAGTATAAACCATGACTGATCCCAAATAGCTTTCAAGATCTGATAGAATCTGGTGCTGTCAGTGCCCTCTGGATTGAAGGTGGTGCTGCTGAACGCCAGATCTGTCAACGGAAAAACGACCTTTATCCAGGATGTAATCCTGGATGAGCGGGCAGATCTGGCGTGCATTACGGAGACCTGGTTGGATGAAGCTGGGGGGGTGAATCTGACCCAGCTTTGTCCCCCAGGGTTCTCCGTACAGCACCAACCGAGATCCGGAGGATGGGGAGGCGGGGTTGCAGTGGTCTATAGAGATTCCATCCATCTGACCAGGAGCCCCATCCCGCAGACCACAAATTTTGAATGTGTCCACCTGAGGGTGGGTGACCGGGACAGAATAGGGATTCTGCTAGTGTACCGTCCACCTCGCTGCACTACAGTCTCCCTACCTGAGCTAGCGGGGGTGGTCTCGAGCCTGGCGTTGAAGTCTCAACGGCTCCTTGTGCTGGGGGACTTCAACGTCCATGCCGAGGCGACCCTCACAGGCGCGGCTCAGGACTTCATGTCTGCCATGGCAACCATGGGGCTGTCCCAACAAATATCTGGCCCCACCCACTGTGCCGGACACACATTGGACTTGGTCTTCTGCCAGGGATGGGAACAGGGTGGCGGTGTGGAGGAGTTGTCCATCTCTCCGTTGCCATGGACCGACCACTTCCTGATCAGATTTAGGCTCACTGCACCCCCTAACCTCTGCAAGGTGGAGGACCCATTAAGATGGTCCGCCCCAGGAGGCTTATGGATCCTAATGGATTCCTGACGGCTCTTGGGATTTTCCCGCCTCCTCGGTAGGTGACCATGTCGAGGCCTTGGTCGCTCTCTGGAATGGGGAGATGGCCAGGGCAATTGACATGATCGCTCCGGAACGTCCCCTCTCAAGTAGCCGAGCTAAACCAGCCCCTTGGTTTACTGAGGAGCTGGCAGTGATGAAGCGAAGGAAGAGGGAACTAGAGAGCGTGTGGCGTTCGGACCCAAGCGAGTCAAATCGAACACGGTTTGTGTCCTTTTTAAGGGCATATGCCGCGGCAATAAAGGCCGCAAAGAAAACTTTCTTTGCGGCCACTATTGCGTCTGCAAAGAACCGTCCGGGGGAGTTGTTTCGGATTGTCAGAGGTCTTTTAACTCCCGCCACTTCAGGCGGGAGCCCTAACAATTCGGTCACGCGCTGTGAAGCATTTGCTCGGTTCTTCGCAGACAAAGTCGCCTTGATCCGTTCTGGGCTGGACGCCGCGTTAGATGTAGATACCACCATATATCCTATTTGGTGGATTCTTTTCAGTTTGTGAAACCCGAGGATGTGGACAAGATACTTGGAGGAATGAGGCCCACCACGTCCATCCTAGACCCCTGCCCATCCTGGCTTCTGAAGGAGGCCAGAGGGGGATTGGCTGAGTGGGTAACGGTGGTGGTTAATGCCTCCCTTCGGAAAGGCAAGATTCCAGCGTGCTTAAAACAAGCAATTATAAAACCGCTGTTGAAGAAACCATCATTGGACCCCACTAAATTGGACAACTTTCGGCCTGTTTCCAATCTCCCCTTTTTGGGCAAAGTCATGGAAAGCGTGGTGGCCTCACAACTCCAGGTATTCTTGAGAGACACGGATTATCTGGATCCGGCACAGTCTGGTTTCAGACCGGGACATGGAACTGAGACGGTCTTGGTCGCCTTAGTGGATGATCTGCGCCGGGAGCTAGACAGGGGGAGTGTGTCCCTGTTGGTGCTCCTGGACCTCTCAGCGGCCTTCGATACCGTCGACCACGGTATCCTTCTGGGGCGCCTTGCGGAAATGGGTCTTGGGGGCACTGTTCTGCAGTGGCTCCAGTCATTTCTGGAGGGTCGTACCCAGAAGGTGTTATTGGGGGACTGCTGTTCAACACCACAGCTGTTGACCTGTGGGGTTCCACAGGGTTCTATACTGTCCCCCATGCTGTTTAATATCTACATGAAGCCGCTGGGTGAGATCATCCGGAGTTTCGGGGTGCGGTGTCATCTGTACGCAGATGATGTCCAACTCTGTCACTCCTTCCCACCTGCTACTAAGGAGGCTGTCGAGGTCCTGAACCGGTGCCTGGCCGCTGTAATGGTCTGGATGAGGGCGAACAAATGAAATTAAATCCAGACAAGACAGAGGTACTCCTGGTCAGTCGCAAGGCCGAACAGGGTATAGGGTTACAGCCTGTGCTGGATGGGGTCGCACTCCCCTTGAAGGCGCAGGTTCGCAGCTTGGGTGTGACCCTGGATTCATCTTTGAGCCTGGATCCAGGTTTCATCGGTGACCAGGGGAGCATTTGCACAGCTTAGGCTGGTGCGCCAGCTGCGCCCGTACCTTGGGAAGTCTGACTTGGCCACGGTGGTACATGCACTGGTCACATCCCGCCTTGATTACTGCAACGCTCTCTACGTGGGGCTGCCCTTGAAGACGGCCCGGAAGCTTCAGCTAGTCCAGCGCGCGGCAGCCATGTTACTAACGGGAGCGGGACGCAGGGAGCATACAACGCCCTTGTTGTCCCAGCTCCACTGGCTGCCGATTTGCTACCGGGCCCAATTTAAGGTGCTGGTGTTATCCTACAAAGCCCTAAACGGTTCCGGCCCAAAATACCTCTCGGACCGCATCTTGGCCTATGAGCCCACGAGGACCTTGAGATCGTCTGGGGAGGCCCTTCTCTCGATTCCGCCTGCCTCGCAGGCGCGTCTGGCGGGGACGAGAGAGAGGGCCTTCTCAATGGTGGCCCCCCGGCTGTGGAACGCCCTCCCTGCTGACATCAGACAGGCGCCCTCTCTCATGGCTTTCTGTAAGAGCCTAAAGACCTGGCTCTTCGAGAAGGCATTTAACTAGTGCCAGACTAACTGACAATGACAATGACAATCGGAACGGAATACGGATTATGAGACTGGTAGATCCCTATGTGGTGACGGTGCGGATTAGTTTAGTGTAAGTTAGATTAAGTGTGTTATATGGTTTGTTGATGTACTCTGTGCTCTTTGTAAATTGTTTTTATATGTTGTACACCGCCGTGAGTCGCCCTAGGGCTGAGAGCGGCGGTCAACAAATGCATTAAATAAATAAATAAATAAATAAATTATTTAGTTTTCTGCGATTGAAACTGTACAGTCTTCTGTTTTGCTAGATTAAAAAGTGGCAGCCCTAGTTCTAGAAAGTGAATTGCTATTTCCAGTGGACATTCATGACTATATTAACATTTACATGAGGATAAGCTACCATTGATTTAATTAATCTAATTTCACATTTTGGATACAATCCAAAACAGTTAGGAGATATAATTGATTTCCTTTCACTAAAATATGTCAAGGTTCCTGCTGAATTGTGGCTGTTGTGTTTAGTCACCTTTCACTTTTTCTAGTCAATTTGTTTGAACAAGCTTCTTTTCATTTCCTCTGAAATCCCACCCCAAAACCACTCTGTCATAATTGAGTTTTT